TCCCGGCTTTTCAGATAAAGCGTGCAACTTTGTCAAAAGATCTCTGACAAAGTTGAAGACGCGTGGAGGCCGAGAATGCAGCTACACACTTTTGCCGACAAGCGTGGGTGACAAAGCCGAAATCCCGGCTTTTCAGATAACGCGTGCAACTTTGTCAAAAGATCTCTGACAAAGTTGAAGACGCGTGGAGGTCATTGCCGCATCCGCACTACTACTCGCATTTACAATTCCTATATACATTAACATTCATGGCAAGGCATACACCCAAAAACGCATGACTCTTCTTCTCGGCCGAGAATGTAGCTGCAACCAAACCTCTCAAACATGCTCAGTTTTCTTCTTCCCTTGAGAACACCTATTCAACCAGTGATGTACCCCCAAAGAAGATACCAGATGCTTGTAGTACCGATGAGGCAGGAGGAAAAGGTAGATCGAAGCATGTGGAGACAAGCGCAACAAATATATGTGCTGATTCATTCGCTGCTTCTTCAAAAGCAAAAGTATCTCATATCATCAAGGGCGAAAGCAAAGGTATCTCATATCATGCTCTTTCCCTATCTTTCCCTTTGTCCTTGTTATTACTCGCATGGCAAAGTGAAAGAGAGCAATCAGCCGGCACTTGGAGTCAGTCTTCCGATCTGGAACCGACTACCTGGAATCTATTCCCTGGTTGCTTACCTAGCGTTGCTCTCGAGTAGTCATCTTCAACGGTTGATACACTTCCAGAGAAGGGACCACATCTACTTGGAGAACAGCTAAGACGAGTGACAATGAAACATCAATCTTTCCAATTCGTATTGAAGAGGGTTAGAGGATACGAATTGGAAAGATTGAACAAAGAAACAGGTCATCACCTCCACCTCGTGCTTGCCTGCCATGTGTCAGAATCCTCCAGCCCAGTTCAAGAGTAGCCTGTGGAAAATCAATGATTGGAGGAAACCAGAAAATCTTCCAGTCAAACTAAAGATCAAGCCACAATGCAATCACCAAGGAGAAGAAGGAATCTACACTCCATAACCAGATTTGCGTCCCTAAACCTCTTCTCCTTGTTATTTACATTCTGCCCTGTTTAATGAGTTTAGTTGCTGTTTTTGTGTTTGCTTGTGTTTAAGTGTGGTTTTAAGCGTAAAACATTGAGGACAATGTTTGATTGAAGTGTGGGGGGGGGGGGGGGTAACTAAGTATGTTGATGCAAATTTGTTGGATTTTATCACCCATAACTTCAAGTGTTGTTCCTTGCTATTTTAAAATGTTTTTAAGCTGATTTGGAGTGTTTTAGTGTGTTTTGTTTTATAACTCCGAAAATCACATAAAATTTGAAAAACATGTTTTGAAAAGCCTAAAAAGAGTGTTTTGAGTCGTTTTTGTGTGTTTGTGTCTTAGGGTACCTTCCAGCGCAATGATGAGGATTTGGTTTTTAATTGCATGACTGCTAAAAAGAGTTATAAACATAAAGAAAAGTTTGATTTACTCTTGGTATATGCTTGGTTATGATTATAATGTATGACTTTACATGCAATCATAAAAGAAAAATTAGTTTTTGTAACATGCTTGAAGGAAGGAACACAAACAAACGCTACAACCTTGTGAGACTTAAGCCTAAACGTTATTTGGAGAGTTAAAATCTGTGCATTATTGTTTTCTAAAAGTCGTTGCATGATCTCATTATTCTTTGCTTGGTTACTACTTAGAAGGCGTTTCATCATATAGTTCCAAATGCTAGAACTCATGCCCATTTCATTCAAAGCATGTTATTGATTTGCATAACACATATTCAAGAAGAAGTTGTGTAGTGACCACCACCAAAGCCAAATTGCCGTGTATCCTACTTCATTATATGTTTAAGTTAACCCTATTGAGCATTGTTAAGCTTACATTCTTTGTTAACCCACACTATCCTCACCTAGCCTAGATTAGGACCATCCATACCCTTATTCTTGAAGCATAGCAAAGCATGATTTGAATTGAACTCCCTTTGATTAATGTTTGGCAGAACCCAAGTGTAGGAGAATTTGGTTTCATGTGAGTTAATGTGCCATAGGCACGGGTGGAAAAGAGAAAAGGAAAAAGAAAAAGAAAAGAAAAAATTGTGAAAAAAAAAAAAAAAAAGTTTGAAATAAATGAAAATAAGTTCACATGTTTGTGGTAGTTGAGGAAAGGGTCCAAAAATGTTGAATATGGCTCTGAGTGTTGCTTAGTTCTTCCCTTTGTGTTAAAAGTTGATTTCTGTGTTTTAAAGTGAGTTCTAAGTTTCGATTTCATTACTTTGCTTGCTATTGCTTTAAGAACCTTTGTTTCCCTCTATCTTTCCATTGTTAACCAATACCCTAAGCCCCATTACAACCCTTGACTTCTATCTTGAGTGTTGTGCATTTCAATTTGTGGAGTTTGAAGTTGGTATAAGCATATGGTGTCAATGGTTCTCGCATCTAAGTAGTAGTATTCCATTCATGAGATCATATCTAAACATGTTTATTAACTCCAGAAATTGTTTTCCTTGTGATATATATATGTGAGTGTTCTTTTCATGTTTACATCAATCTTCTCACATATAACTAGATTAGGGTGTGTAGTTAGAAATTCTGAGTGAAAATTGAGGGCATATCTTGTAAGGAATTGAGCAAATTCTCTAAGGCATGTTACTACATTCAAAACATGGTTTTAAATGCTTAATTGTGAACTAGTATGTGGTGACTATGATTAAGAATGTACTTAAGTGTGAAGATGACTAAAATCTGTGGAGATAATGAATTTTTAACATGTCATGTGCATTGAAAATCCCTGAGACCATTATTGGAAGGTTTAGGTTTTGTTTTGTTTTTCTGTTTTGCTCGAGGACTAGCAAAAGCTAAGTGTGGGGGAATTTGATAGGAGCATATTTATGCGACTTAATTGGCTTGTTCTCGTGCATTTACGTTATGTTTCTTTAGTTATTTTAGTCCTTTATGCCAATTTCGTGTGTTTCTAGGTTCATATGGCTAAGGAAGCAAAAAGGTGCATTTTGGAGCAAAATTGGGCTTAGAATGGATAGCTTATGCTTGGAGCCAAAGTGTTGGACGAAATTGAAGTCTTGTATGCACTTTAGGACATAAAACAAAGGGCCTAGCCCAATCAAACAAAGCCTTAGAACCAGCAAAACCATCTATTCCCTCTTTAATCCACATGCATTCATCATCATTCACCCTAACTTTAATTCACATGCAAAAACATTCAATTTCAGCATCCACAAGCTCTTGCCGTGCATTTCATATCCACTTTCCAGCATTCCATTTCATTATTGCAGCCACCATTCACTCTTTAATCCACATGCATTCATCATCATTCACCCTAGCTTTAATTCACATGCTTTCACATGCATTTTCAGCACCAAAGAAGCCCTTGCCGTGCATCCCATTCCATTTTCCAGCTTTTCTCTTTCATTGCAGCCACACTTCCACATGCATTCCCTCTTTTAATCATTCCCTCCTAGCTGTCATATTCCCTCTTTTAATCATTCATCTATCTATAAATAAGCATCCATTGCAGCCACAAAAGATCATTCATTCCACACCTCCATTCACACAACAACAAACACAAAAACAACAAGCAAGCCGTGCATTTCACTCTTCATTTCCAGCATTCTCCCCTTCCATTTCACCACTCCCCATCCCTCCAAAACACTACCCAACCATTCCCCACTTCATTCCACATACAAACACCATCCCAAAACCTATCCTTAGACCTTGTGCCACAACAAAGAGGAGGAGAAGGGCATAAACGTTCATACAATTCAAGTTTGAGTTGTTGGAATTTTTAGGTGTTTTCTTTTCCTTGATTTCAATGCTTAAATTTACTTATCTTTGTTTAGTACGTATGAGGAACTAAACCCCCCATTAGCTAGGGGGTAATTCGAAACCATGTTTACGCTTGCAATATGAATTGATTACCTTTGGTTGGAAGTTCATGAGTTGTGGATTCAATTTGTTTAACTGTTTGATTGATAACCTATTTATGTATGTTTATTGAGAGTGCACGCTTAATTTTCATGCATGAATATGACGCTAGAATATAAGTGAGTTTCACCTAATAGTTATGAACTTATATTCACAAGTAGTGGAGGTTGCTTATAAACAATCGCGTTAAGTAAATTCTTGGCATAAGTTTCATGCAATTCATAGTAATGAATGCCTCGTCAACACTTATAGTTTTCATGATGCTTAATGATTCTTGCTTGTATCTCTATTATGCAATTCATGTAGGGAACTTGTGGGGAATACTTTGGGTTGTCGCATGCAATCATCCAATTCATTAACTTAAGGAAAACTTGACGGTTAATTTAAGCGGACCTAATTAACCCGGGGTGTTGAGTTTCATAATTCATCGAAAGACCAACTGAAAATCATCTTGTATGCAAGTGTAACATGTGTGGAGAAGAACCTTCTAGCTAGCATTCATCCATATTTTCATCACATTCATATTTACATTCTGCCCTTAATTAAAATCTGTGCATTTTAGTTTAATTTCGTCAAAACCTCAATCCCCCCCCATATTTAGTTTAGTCTTAATCTATCTTATTTTGTGTTTTTAAGTATTTGGAGTCTTGTGGACTTATTTTGAGTTTTCGTTAAGTGAATTAAGTGTTTAAAGATTAGTTTTATTTATTTGAGTCAAGTGTTTAGCACCCCTAGTTAATCCCCGGTTAGAACGATCCCTACTTACATCATTACTACAATTGTCACAAATAGGGTTTAATTTATGTGTCACATTCGTAACGCATCACAAGCCAATTAAGTCGCATAAATATGCTCCTATCAGCATACCAATGCAATACAACCCATTCAATCACATAATACTCACTTGAAGCTTACCAGAGTCTTCGCAGCATCACACAATACAATTCACAAGTGTAACAGTGCAATATTTAAAATGTAACTTATTTACGACATGGCAAACAAAGCATAGTTCCATATAAAAACGATTCTGGAAACCGTAAGATATACATATACATACACACACACATATATATATATATATAGAGAGAGAGAGAGAGAGAGAGAGAGAGAGAGAACAAATGCCCACTCACATAACATGAAGTCGGGTCGAACCCACCTTGCGGGCTTCGAAGATCCTTGCAATACGTTTCACCTAGAAACAAAACCATTATGTAATTATGTATAACGTATTAACGTATAAACGAGTTTTCCAAATTTTATTTCATGTTTTTCCCCTAATTGTAGGAGCTCATTTCAAGCTCCAATTTCAATGATTCAAAAGCCAACTAGAAGCTAGAAACGTGGGGAACATGTTTGTACCAGTTTGGAGTCGAATAGTGGCCGGAGTTGACCGGGAAAATGGTCTGAAAATGGCCAAATGGCCACGGGTCCAAGTTTTCCAGAATCTGGGAAATTTCATCCCAAATTCCAGGGCTAATTTCTAGCTCGATTTTCAATCAAATTAGATGATTCAAGATCCATATTAAAGCTAGAAATGTATAGAACAAGTAAATACCAAATTGTAGCCGAGGTTATGTCGGTGTTGACCAGAAAAATGGCCTAAAGATGGTCAAATGGTCACGGCCAAAATTTCCAGAAATCTGAAAATTTCTTCCCAAATTTCATAACTAAATTCTAGTTCGATACTTAACCAAACTTGATGATTCAAAAACCATTTTGAATTTAGAAATGTAGAGAAGAGATTTACCCTTAGGAGGCCCAATGGAGATCGGAGTTGGCCGGAAAAATGGCTGAAAAGTGGCCAAACGACCACGGGTTGAAAATTTCCAGAATGAACAGTGACCTTCCTTTGTGTTTTCCGAGCTCCTACACCACCAAAACCACCCAAAAACTTACCAATCATGAACCTAGACATGATCTACAATAATAGGGACCAATTTCGAGGCTTACCTTGGATGGAAATGGTCAGAATTCACCGGAGAAGAATGATGCACAGTGATGGTACTGTGCAGTGCGGGGAGGTAGTTTACAAGGTACTTTTCTCCTATTTCTAGGTCTAATGGCTCACAAGGATTACAAGGGATGATGGTGGGGGTGTTGCCTTACCGTGGTTGCAAGTGTAGAGGTGTGGGTGTGTGTGTGTCTCGGCAAAAGAGGAGGAGAAGGAGTAAAGGTGAGTGAGAGTGGAAGAAGAAGAAGAAGAAGAAAATAGAGAGTGAGAGTGAGATATCACGGGACAAAAAAGCAAACCCCCAGAAAAATGGGGAATCTTGCCATGTGCAAGTGTGGTCTAAAATACTCTGATCGTTCTGAGTTTTATAACATTTTCGTTTTAACTTCAAATTCAATTCTGCTTATGTCTACGCGTTCGTATTGTCGACAACTATGCAAATACGCTAAAAGAATGAGTCATACATCCCTCTAACTGATGGTCAACGGAAGTTAAAATTCTTGCCTCTAGAAACATTTTCGTCAAATCACTCATTTAAAATTAATAAAATTATAAAATTAAGGGCGAGTTGTTACATCCTGTATTTTAAATTATATTTATTTACTTTCGAGTTTTAATTGAAAAGTTTTGTGGTATTTTACTTACATATGTATTAATCATACTTTGATTCCTTGACGTGTTGTATTGATAACTAGCATTTTGCATGACATTTATATAACTTAATTTGATCTCAGTACTAGTATGTGGTAATCCATTTAAGTGCGTGTCAATGGTTCCCTCATCTTATTTGCATGCACTTAGACACCTCCTACTTAGAAATTATGTCCAGCTCCACCTCCCTTCCTAATGTCATATTCTCATGTCTTTGCTCTAGCCATTCGACACCTCAAGTGCTTATTCACCAACATGGCCGACCTATGTATCCTATAAATAACATCACTACTTCTCAAATTTTATTTATATCAACTTTTCACCTCTCTTTACTTATGACGTTGCATTGCATGCATATATATAGTAGTAGTTGAAATATAATATATATATATATATATATATATATTGAGAGAGAGAAAAGAAAGAGAGTCAAGGGTTACACTATGTTTGGATAAGGGAAATAAACTTAGAATTTCGATAAATGTCAAAATTTATAAATTGATATGCACCAATTCCTTTGTTTGGATTCATAAACATGGAAATTTAGAATTTCCACGTGGAAAAAAACTTGGAATTTGGGACATTCAATTCTCAAGTTTAAATTCCATGTAAATATGTGTTATTTTTCAATTTCTATAATTGAGAGTTTAAAAATAACAAACTCTGTGCTCAATTCCATTGTTCTTTTAGGTTAACCAAATAAGAAAATTCACAAATTCTAGAAAATAAAATCTCGTCATTTCAATTTCCGTCATTTTAAAATTCTTTAGTAATCTTAAATTTGTTCCTCCAAACATAGTGTTAGTGAGTTGGTTGTGTGGAAATTGTCAGTGGGCTTGTCTTGTCGAGGTTCTAGCTATCGATCGAGGTGAATAGTTTATGTAATGTATTTAGAATATTCTTATTTTCAGATAATATGAAAACCATGAGTTATCATGGGATTTATTGTATTTATAAATCTTGATACATTTTTAAGTCAAGCATGTTTGATTTCATTTAATCGCTTTTGATATGTTTATATATGTTCTATGTGGAATTGTTGGAGATGTTCATGAAGTATGAGAACTTTAGTGCTGAGTTATTCAAGAGATAAATGTATGGCACAAGGGGATACTAGGGCAAAATGGTAAATTTAGGGATCACATGGTGAGCTACATATTATGAAGGATAACCAACACGTGAAGGGATGATGTGCTATGACACTACGTGACTAAAGCTTAGATATTATTTTCATATTTTATACAAGCTGAGGTTGTGTTAGACGAGGGATTCAAGGGTTTTTATTTATTTTGTCTACCTTGTAAGAGTTTTCAGATTATTGAATCAGAGTAGATTTTTTTTAAAAATCTTTTTATATACTTTTGCTCGCGCACCGGCCATGAGTTCATTTTTTCCACTGACCTCGGGTCCAGGGTGTGACATCCCATCCTGACGTTTATTGTATTTTATTCCCAATAGTAGTGAAATTATCAAAATACCTTTAAGATGCCACATAGGCCTTCCACATGGACCTCAATTTTTCCTTTCACTTTTTCAATCTTATTTTACTATTTTCGAATAGTACTCATTTTTACAAACACGTGGCCGCAGACAGAACTCAATTCAAAGTTATAACAAAGAAGTTATGTTCGGAATAGTATAATTTACCTAAGATAATTTCAAATTCTAATAACCGACCTTGTGCAGTGTGCATCACTGCTTGCCATACAAGTGGTTTTAAATAAATAATTATTTTGGGTTCTAAAACCCACTCTTGTCAACAACACCCACTAGACTCATCATTTCACCCAATTAGTACTTGTTCCCTCTCTCATGTCACATCTCACAATCTCTCCCTTTTCACTTTATTCACTCTCTCTCACTCTCTCTCTCTACCTACTCAGATATCATTCTCTTCTTTTAAAATTTTTTTTCTCTCTCTCTCTTCCCACTCACTTGCCCTAAGCTCTCATCTCTTCCCTCTCTAATTCTCCCGATTCCCCTTCTCTCTCTCTCGCTCTTTCTCTCACTCACCTTTGCTCCACGAGAACACTGCCGCTGCAACACCAGTGAACTACACCAACCAACCTAGGCCAGCTCTCATCTCCCCCGCTCTCATCCCTCTCGTCTTCCCTCTACCATTGACTGGAGCACCACCATCACCATGCCGTTGCATTTTCACTACTACAAAGGGGCCTTATTGTATCGGTGGGTGGTGTCGCTTTTATACAACATAGTGGTGGATAAGACATTCCGACACCCACTTAATATGATGTTGGAGTTACTGTCAGTTATAACCAACATAAACTGTTAATGTTGCTTATAACTAACACTTGATTTTAATATTTTTAATACTGGTGTCGCATAAAAAAAAAAAAAAAACTACGTCGCTTTTAACCAACATAACGTTAGCGTCAGTAAAAGACAACTGGTGTCACTTTTGGCTGACACTAACGATAATTTTTAAATATTTTCAAAAATAGTGTTGGTTGTAGCCGACATAGGTTTAAATTTTTATTAAAAATTTTGAAACCTGGTGTCGGTTGTAACAGACATAATGTTATTGGTTAAAAGAAATATTTTCAAAGTCGGTGTCAGTTTTAGCCGACACAATCTTGATGTTATGCATATTAAGAAGAATATATGTGACAATGTGGTGGGAACATTGCTAGATATAGAAAGGTCTAAAAATGGATTGGTTGCATGTGCAGATCTTGTAGTCTTGAACATAAGACATAGTCAACACCCACGCAGAGAATGAAGTAGAACATTTTGACCTCCATCATTGTTTATGTTGAAAAGAGAAGAAAAAACTGCCTTTTGCAAAGTGTTGTCTACTATTCGGGTCCCCAATGGATATTCATCAAATCTGTTGCGATGGGTGCACGTGAATGAACAAAAAATACATGGGTTGAAAAGTAACGATTGCCATGTTTTAATGCAGCAGTTACGCCCACTTGCAATATGTCTAGTTTTGGCTAAAGCTGTTACTATGGTATTATTAGAGTTGAGTTCAATTTTCAAATAGTTGTGTAGTAAGAATGAGTCTGAGGAAGGATTCAAGCAATTGAATTCAAGAAATGCATTGACATTATGTCAACTTGAAAAAAATATTCCCTTTTGCATTTTTTGATATAATGGTGCACCTCCCAGTTCACTTGGCAGATGAAACAGCTCTTGCAGGGCATGTTCAATATAGATGGATGTATCCAATTGAACGGTAATTAACAAATTTTTTTTATAATTTTTTTACAACTATAGTCATAACATTAATTAATAAGTATAATAATTTGTGTTTCATTTTATAATTGTAGGCATTTGCAAACATTGAAGCGTTTCGTTCGTAATACGGGTCATCCTGAAGGTTCTATTGTTGAAGCATATTTGGTGGACGAGTGCTTGTCCTTCTCTGCGATGTATCTTAGAGATGTCGAGTCTCGTCGCACCTGTAGAGGTTGAAATGAAGATGGTATTGATGTGATATATAATAGCACACAGATTAAACCCTATAATTGTAGTATATGTAAGTAGGGATCATTCTAGGCCAGGGATTAAAAGGGATGCTAATCTACACAATTTAAACTCTAAAACACTAAACTAGACTCAAAAACAGAAAACTAGACTCTAACAACTCAAAACAAGCTAAATACACTCAAAACACACAAACTAAGTTAAATTGACTGAAAACAGGTACTAGAAAGTGATTTGGACTAAAATTGAACCAAAAAGGCTTAAGATACTAAATAGGGACAGATTTGAAAACGTTTCTAACTAATCTAACACACTTAAATAAAGGGGGGGGGGATTGATTTTGATGAAATTAAAGTAAAAACAAGTAGACTTAAAGACTCTAAACAATTTGAACGAAATTGGGTGTTTAAATGGGTGAATGACTAGCTAAAGGGTCATTCTCCACACATGACACATATGCATATAAATCGATTTCCAGTTATTATTCCTTTAAACCATGAATGACAATGCCCCAAATTAATCGTGAAAAGCACAAATTAACTTTCAGATTTTCCTAAATTCATTGAATTGGATGGAATACGCATTGGTAATCAAATTATTCTTATCAAGTTCCCTACATGAACAACATAATAGACATACAATCAAAGATCATTAAGTTTTGTGAAAATCATAAGCATTGACATGACATTCGTAACTATGAACTGCATGATACTCCTACCATGGATTTACTTAACACGATTGTGACTAGCAACCTCCACTACTTATAAATATAAGTTCATAACTATTAGGTGAAATTCCCTTATATTTTAGCATCAAATTCATGCATGCAAACTAAGTGTGCACCCTTAATCAACATACAAGAATAAGTTATCAATCAAACAAATAAGTAAATCGCATTCATGTTTTACGAAACAATAACTGGAGGAAATCAATTCATATCACATATATGTTCATGGCTTTGAATTCACCTCTAACTAAAAAGAAATTAGTTCCTCATGTTCGCAATTAAACAAAGACAATTAAATTTAAACATTGAAAACTAAGATAGAATACACCAAGAAACGCTCCAACAATCCAAGCTTGAATGTGATGGCACGGCTAAGGCTCTCCTCTCCTTTCTCCTTGCTAAGCTGTGACACAAAAGGGATTTGTGTGATTGATGGATGTGTGGTGTGAAATGTGGTGAGAGGTGGGTGGTGAATGAGTGTTGCGGC